ATTATAATTTAAATTCAACAACTGCAGGTGCATCCGTTGTCAGTAAAATAATATTAGTTCACGATCTTGAATGAAATATACAGAAAAATACTTAATTATATTTCATAGATTTACTGTGATAATAACACTTTAATACTAGTGGTAATACTACTACTACTAATAATAATAATAATAATAGAAGAAGAAGAAGAAGAAGAAGAAGAAGAAGAAGAAGAAGAGGAATATAACCTAGTATCATATCAAAAAGTGATATCTGTTTGTTGTCGTATAACTTTATGGGGAACAGCCATAATGTAAGATCTCATGTTTAAAATGGAGAAGCTGTGAAAAAGAAGACTGTTTCGTCTTATACGGGTTATCAATACTTTTACAGGTTATTTAAAGCCAGATAATATTTTTACATTGTAATCTTTTTTAGGTAATGATGATTTAGGGATAAAATTCTTACTAATTAATCCCTAGATGAGAGGGAAGAGATGGATTCATGTCTTTCCGAATGGTATTTGCGCCTAAACGAATATAGCGAACCCAACTGGAACTCAGCTCTCCGATTTAAAATTCCGAGCCATTATCCATTACACCAACCGCACATCCAAGCTTAAAGCACGGGATTTTCCCAAGGGGGGACACCCATCAAGGTAGTGACCAGGCTTGACTTTGCTTAATTCTGGTGATCTTATGAGAACCGGTATTTCAATGCGACAGAGGAGAGATACTACTACTACTACTACTACTACTACTAATAATAATAATAATAATAATAATAATAATAATAATGATAATAATGAAAGGCCTCCTCAATATTGTAAAATACTTCAGTGACGACATAGGTATGGACTTCGGATTAGATAAATGTGCAAAAGTAACATTCAAGAAAGGTAGAATTACAGAAACACCCTTAATAGATTTAGATTTTGTCACAAAGATTAGGAAACTGGAGCATGATGAAGCTTATAAGTACCAAGGAATTAGCGAAGGAGATGGCATACAACACCCCCAAATGAAGGAAAAATAAGAAAAGAGTTCTACAGGCGTGTACGTCTGGTACTAAATACTGAGCTAAACTCAAAAAACAGAATATCAGCCATAAACACATTGGCTGTCCCTGTGGTGCAATCCAGCTTTAATGTCCTTAACTGGACCAGAGCTGAAATTAAGCGAATGGACGCCAAAACGAGAAAGCTTCCCACTTGCTATCGCATGCATCATCCCAAAGCTGATGTTGATCGTCTGTATGTGCCCAGATCCGAATGAGGCAGAGGATTAGTTCAACTAGAACTGTCCTACAAAACTACACAAATTGGCCTCCAAAGATACTTAGAAACTACACAGTCTGGATGATGGTATGCGTCAAGGAACATGAAAGTAGTAAGCGTCTTTACTCCGTAATGAAAGAAGCTAACAAATTCAAAATGGAGTTTCAAATGGGCGTAGAGATGCAACTACAGCACAATACATCGGCTGAAACTGCAAAATACTTAAAAATGACAGCAAAGACGAATGCAACCGACCAGATACAGAAGCGATGGCAAGATAAACCGCTTCATGGCCAATACTCTGCCCGTACCAAACAAGCTGACGTAGACAAAACCCGTACCCATCAGTGGCTACGTAGTGCAGGGTTGAAAGCTGAAACTGAAGGTTTTATCCTTGCTGCGCAGGACCGATGCTTGCTAACTAGGAATTACCAAGCACATATACTAAAATATTGTGTCAGCCCAAAATGCAAATTCTGTGATAAATATCCAGAAAAGATTAATCATCTTGTATCAGGTTGCACGATGTTGGCACCCACTGAATATAAAACCCGACATAACAGAGTGGGCCAATATCTGTACTGGAAAATCTGCAACTTCTACGGGATGGAAACTGAAAGAAACTGGTATGAACACCACCCAGACCCGGTTACAATTTTATGGGACTACACAATACACACTGACAGAACAATCAAAGCCAACCGGCCAGATATTGTTATTAAAGACCACAAACAAAAACGGTGCCTCCTTATTGATATGGCAGTCCCTGCTGACTGCAATGTATCTTTGAAGATATTCAAAAAGCTGTCAAAATACAAGGACCTTGAAATAGAAATCTCGAAAATGTGGCATATGGGAACATCAACAATCCCTGTTGTAGTTGGATCCCTAGGACTGGTTGGAAAAGATTGCAGTATACTAATTGAAGGGATTCCTGGAAGTCCATGCCTCAAGGAGATACAAAAAATTGTTCTGACAAGTACAGCCCACACTTTACGAAGGGCTTTATCTATGTAATTTTTTTTTTTTTTTGTTAGTGGAAAGTGTCATGAAGCCATTTCAAACCTTAGGTCCCTGGGTGGGACCCGGAAAGAAATGTGTAAACGCCAGAAATCAAAGAAAATAATAATAATAATAATAATGATAAGAAGAAAAAGTAGAAAAATGAACAATATATATCTTTTTTTCATTTAGCTCGTCAGCGACGAAATATAAGTATTAGGAATAATATCAAGTGCAAGATGCACCTCATGCTATCAAACAATAAAACATTATGTGAATAACATCTTAAACCACTCAAAATACGCCAGAAAGTTATTGAATATTATACGGGATTTTACAATTCTTACTGACAGACTTATAAAAGACAAAAGACCATAAGCATTTGGACATATCACCTAGAAGCTGATGCGTCATTGTAGGTGAACCGGTGTAGTTAGGGATCGTCATAAACAGAAATCGATGTTTTTTGTTTGTTTGTTTTTGAAGTCAGAATGATTTGTAAATTTGGCGGTTTGGAAGTCATATCTAAGTACTTTGATACCCCGTCAATCAGCGACAGTCCCAGTGAACAGTGTTACTTTACCTGAAGGTACATCTAGATGAGCCTCACCTGTATGGATATGCATTGCTTTTATCAAAATCTGCCACTATATCAAGGAAATGTGACTGTCATACATGTGCTTAGTATAACCGTATAATCTGGGTAATAAAATGAGTATATTGTATTCCGAATGTTTTGTTAGATGCTTGGTGTGTTGCACTCCGATATAAAAATAATGGTGAAACTATTAAACTCTCCACCCTTGATACCGAAGAAATACAAATAACAATATGATAAAATTGGGAAGTAAATTTTTGCGAGTTCTATCAATGTGGAATCGCTCACATGCTAGAAATTAGGATAAGAGTCAATGTAAATAAGTCATAGAAAGTCATAAAGCTACTATTTTTGTGAGTTTAACATACAGACTAAAAGTGATATAAAAGCTAATAGACTCAATTAAAACAATGAAAGTGTACAAATAAAAATAATATTCCTCACACAAAAAGCATTAATATAAGATTAATATATATATATATATAAATATTTACTTAACTATATATATATATATATATATATATATATATATATATATAAAGAGAGAGAGAGAGAGTTAAGTAATGTTAATATATATAGTTAAATATATATATATATATATATATATATATATATATATATATATATATATTCAGTTATATAGATATAGATATGAGTTTGTGACCCTGGGTTTCACGCTTTACGATAACCAGGCTTTGTTTGATGGTCGCAAACACATGAAACCCAGGGTCACAAACTCATATCCATATAACAGAATTGAAGGAACCAGAAACCCATTCCTAAACAGGAAACAGTGTATGAACTTCTTCATCTGTTTAAAAAACTGGGGAGGAGTGTGAACAGGACGACTATATTAAATATATATAAAAATAGTAAAAATATTTGAAAGTACAGTGAACCCACATTTCTCGAACGTCTCACATGTCGAACAAATCCTGTTTTCAAACAGAAAATTCGAGATGAACATACATCGGTTATCGAACAAAATTTCGGTTCTCGAAAAACATTGCCGAACAGAGTTAACCCGAACTAACGCAATAATTTCTGAGACGATCTCCGTGTTGTATACATTCGTGCGTTGTGGTGTGCTTTTCTTTTCCAATTTTATTGTAATCTCATTTTTTTTTCTCTACATTGATTCCTGTTGAAAAAATAGTTTCTGCTTACGAACATTTCGTGTTACGAACGGCCTTCAGGAACGCATCAAATTCGTGAACCGAGGTTAAACTGTACGTTGAAATTGAAACTGAAAAAATGTAGCTCCTTCAATCTATTGTTATATGAATAAAACTTGGAGTCCTAGATACGATCAATAAAGGTTTATATAAGACAATTAACATGGGCACCTCGAGGTGGTGTAATGGTTAACAAGCTTGTCTCGCTAGAACAATTATGAATGAGTAGTGAGTTCGATCCTCACTGGGTGCCCCTTACTTTCAGCCTTGTGCCACATCCACGCTATGCTTGGAACATCTCTACAGTATGAAGCAAAATATACAGAAAAAACAAACAAAAATCTTAATATGCAGTTATGCTGTATTAATGTTAATATAAAGTCAACGTCGGACGTTTCGGTCTATTTTAGACCATCATCAGGACATATTCATAAAACATAATTAACATTAGGACATATAAAATTCAACATGAAAAGACGATGGACATAAGAGCACAACTAATCCAAACAGATAACTGAAATTTTATATAAGATCAGCGCTCCGTTTAAATATGATCCATATATTTGTTTACATAAGACAATTAGCAAGAATCATGGCAGCTCCTGTTTTTAGTTGCTCAAAGAAGATATTCAAACTAAATAATAATTTAACCTGACATATTTCTGCGTTTATTTATTTTTATTTTGTCCCGAGTTTATATAACACTCTAATAAAATAACAATGTCTATTATATCAATCTTGGCACTCGTATGGTTTTTTCTCGTATGGAGAAGACAGTGTGAATAGGAGCTTATGAAATGCTTATGTGAGTCATGCTATGATTGACGTAGAAAAAGACATAAAAGCGAAGGAATGTTTGCTAACTAAAAAAATCTATTATTAATGTGCAAATGGACATCAGATATTTAAAAAAGGAAACTCTCTGAAGAGGGGTTAAAAACAGGAAGGCTGGCGTACGTGACGTTGCCACTAGAAAGAGGCAGCAGACGAGAACTTAAAATGAAAGCAACAGATGATTAGTTTTACGAAGAAAACAGCAAGAGACGAGAAAATGAAATAGCAAAGAGGACGATGTAGGTGAGAAAGATTGGCGGATTGGGAAAGGAAAAAAAATGGCTGCAGCCGAGATGCTGATATCAGAAAGAGGCTGCAGATAGAAAATTGAGAAAAAAAAGGAAAAATGCCGCAGATGAGATGCTAAAACAGGGCCCTAGACAGATAGTTAAAAACAAGAAAAAGGCTTTTGAAAACAAGCACAGAACAAACGTCAAAGTCGAGAGGTTGAAGAATAGTAGGCGAAATATTCAAAGAAAAAAGAGTTTGCTGATGAAATACTGAAAAGAGAAAATGGCCGCACACAAGATGTTGCAAGCCGAAAGACGCCACATGCTGGAAACAGGAAAAGACTTCGTATGATATATTTAAAGCTAGAATGGGTCACAGACGAGATGTTAAAAACAGAAAAAAATGCCCTCATATAATGAAAAGAAAATGATGCCGCCGTTGATCGGTTAAAAAGAGAAAGCAGTCACTGGCGAAATAACAAAAGCAGAAATTGATCGCAGACGAGATGATGACTACCTACCATAGACGCGTATGAGATGCTGAAAAGACAACAAAACGCTGCAAATATGATTTTTTAATAAGAGATACAAGTATCTAACCTCACTAAAGGTATAGGCTTACCGTCAAATAGTTATGTTGAATGAAGAACATTATATGAATAAAAGAGTAGGTAACCGGAAGTGAATATTATGAGGATAAGGAGAGTAGATATCGATTGAGCCATGAATGGAAAATGTTATGATAGCAGTTTTCAGGGAAGTACCTTAGCAGAAATGTATTTCACAAAAAATTTCTGTTCTTAGAGAAAAGATATATAGAATTTTCGCCCTGTTATTTGGAATACAGGGGAAATTGTTATTGATTTGACTCCATAGATGTAGCATGTCTTGGCCTAGCGGTAAAGGTTTGAACTTGTGGAACTAAAAAAGGGAACTTAATTGAACATTTGTGATAAGCTTGAGACATTGCAACTGGGGTTAAGTTGTCGAAGTGTAGGAAAATAGGTACCCATAATAGCGCGTAAATGCTGATGTACTTTATCAAGGTTGAAATGTGTGAATATAGGAATATTATTACAATTATGAATGTAGTAAACACTAGCGGAAACATACGAAAACGTCGGAGGAAGCTGCAGGGATATTAAAAAGAGAATAGAACCGTACATACCATATTTGGAACAATAATCCTCAGAGATTTTGTTTTAACGATAAAAGAGGCTACAATTAATATTCAGAATAAGAGGTCGTTGTTTAGACACTGAAACTATCGTGAAACCACAGACGAGACGTTGAAAAAGAAAGAAAAAGAGAAAAGGTATCGGAAAAGAGAGAAAAAAGAGAAGAGATGTTGAAAAACAAACAAAAAAGCGAAGAGATATTGAGAAGGAAAGAAAAAGCGAATATATATTGAGAAAGAAAGAAAGAAAGAAAGAAAGAAAGAAAAGAGAAAAGAGATATTGAGAAAGAAAGAAAAAGAGAAGAGATATTTATAAAGCAAAAAAAAGAGTATCTGTCTATATTTCTGAGATGAGGTATTATGCACACTATTTACATTATTCGGACTATAAAAGGGTTCAGTTCAGCATTCCAGCTACCTGAAGAAGGTCGGAACGTACAACGGCCGAAACGTTGTAATTAATATGGCGACAAAGATGAGGACAATAGTACGAATAATGTAAAAAGAGAAGCTATATTGAAAACGAAAGACAAAAATAAAAAGAGAGGAACTATTGAAATGTAAACAAAATAGAAGACATAGAAAAAGAAACGATATTGAGAAAGAAAGAAAAAATCGAAGAGACATTGAAAAAGAAATAAAAACCTGAAGAGATATTAAAAATGAAAGAAAAAGAGATTTTGAGAAATAAAGAGATTAGAAAAGATATATTGAGAAAGAAAGAAAAAATCGAAGAGACATTGAAAAGAAATAAAAACCTGAAGAGATATTAAAAAAAAAGAAAAAAGAGATTTTGAGAAATAAAGAGATTAGAAAAGATATATTGAGAAAGAAAAAAAAATCGAAGAGACATTGAAAAGAAATAAAAACCTGAAGAGATATTAAAAAAAAAGAAAAAGAGAGATTTTGAGAAATAAAGAGATTAGAAAAGATATATTGAGAAAGAAAGAAAAAAAATCGAAGAGACATTGAAAAGAAATAAAAAACCTGAAGAGATATTAAAAAAGAAAGAAAAAAAAGATTTTGAGAAATAAAGAGATTAGAAAAGATATATTGAGAAAGAAAGAAAAAATCGAAGAGACATTGAAAAGAAATAAAAACCTGAAGAGATATTAAAAAAGAAAGAAAAAGAGATTTTGAGAAATAAAGAGATTAGAAAAGATATATTGAGAAAGAAAGAAAAAATCGAAGAGACATTGAAAAGAAATAAAAACCTGAAGAGATATTAAAAAAGAAAGAAAAAGAGATTTTGAGAAATAAAGAGATTAGAAAAGATATATTGAGAAAGAAAGAAAAATCGAAGAGACATTGAAAAGAAATAAAACCTGAAGAGATATTAAAAAAAGAAAGAAAAAGAGATTTTGAGAAATAAAGAGATTAGAAAAGATATATTGAGAAAGAAAGAAAAAATCGAAGAGACATTGAAAAGAAATAAAAACCTGAAGAGATATTAAAAAAGAAAGAAAAAGAGATTTTGAGAAATAAAGAGAATAGAAAAGATATATTGAGAAAGAATGAAAAAATCGAAGAGACATTGAAAAAGAAATAAAAACCTGAAGAGATATTAAAAAAGAAAGAAAAAGAGATTTTGAGAAATAAAGAGATTAGAAAAGATATATTGAGAAAGAATGAAAAAATCGAAGAGACGTTGAAAAGAAATAAAAACCTGAAGAGATATTAAAAATGAAAGAAAAAGAGATTTTGAGAAATAAAGAGAATAGAAAAGATATATTGAGAAAGAATGAAAAAAAAGTGAAGTGATCTTGAGAAAGAAAGAAAAAAGAGAAGAGATAATGAGAAAGAAGAAAGGATAAGATTTGCTGAAAACGAAAGATAAAGTGAAATGTTATTGAAGAAGAAAGAAAAGGAGAATAGATATTGAAATATAAAGAAAAAGTGAAGATGATGAGAAAGAAAAAGGGAGTGATATTGAAAAAGAAAGTATAAGAGAAAAGATATTAAAAAGAAAGAACAAGAGAAGAGATATGGAAAAAGAAAGAAAAAAAGAAGCGATATTGAGAAAGGAGGAAAAAAAGAGGAGATATTAAAAAAGAAGGAAAAAGAGGACATATTGAAAAAGAAAGAAAAGCGAAGAGTTATTGAAAAAGAAAGGCAAAAAAGAAGAGATATTGTAAATGAAAGGAAAAGTGATGAGATATTGTAAGTGACGAAAAGAGAGAAGAGATATGGTAAAAGAAAAGAAATATCGAAGAGATATTGAGAAAGAAAGAAAAAGTGAAGAGATATTGAAAAAGAAAGCAAACGCTGCTGAAGAAAAGAAACTGAAGATGTTAAAAGCATGAAACGAAAATGCCGTAAATAACTTACTGAAAACAAAAATTGACTGTCGACGAAACTTTTGAAATAGAAATAGTCTTCTGACGAGATTTGAAAAAAGCAAAGTGACGGAAAGATTTGAAAAAAAAAACGGTCGCAGACGAGAGGTTACAAAAACAAAGTAGCCTCAGATTTTTTAAACAAAGTAGCCAAGATTTTGAAAACAGTTACGTACTTCAGACAAGAATACTAAATTAGAAGGAAGCCACTGAGAGGATGTAAATACAGAGAGTGCTCATGTATGATGTAATGAAAACAAAAATCGAATGTCCATTAAATGTTTGAAATAAAATGCGACGACATATTAAAAAGAAAATGGCGTCTAATACGAAATCTTACAAAAGTGAGGGATGCCAGAGTTAAGATTTTGAAACCATTTTTATTAAACCAAAGTGCAGCAGATAATATAATAAAATCAGAAATATGACTGACGATGATACACTGGAAATAGAGAAGGTGTTGAAAACGAAATTAGACTACAAATGAAATATTAGAAGTAATTAAAGGCAGCAGATGACTGTCGAATGCAAGAAATAAGGCCGCAGCGAAGATGCTTAAATTTGTAAGAGGGTGCAGACGACATATTGAAGTATGGACAAGGATGAGATATTGGAAATAGAAAAAAAAATATTTTCTATTGAGACGTTGAAAGCCAAAGTAGATTACAGACTATCCGAAAAGGAAAAAAGATAGTTTTGAAAAGAAACTGAATATAGAAAACAATTCCAGACGTGATATTGAAAGAAGAAAGCCACTGTAGTTAAGATTGTGAAAAGGGCATGCAGATAATAGCTTAAAAAGAGAAAAATAAAGGCACTGATTAAACAGTGAAGTCACAAATGGGACGCCGAGTAAAAAGAGGTCGCTGATAAGATGTAAGCAGATGAGATGATGAGATCAAGGCAGACGACGATACATTTAAAAGGGAATATCACCGCAGATAATACACTGGAAACAAAAAATTGGATGTTAAATCAAAACAAGAAAGACAAACAGAAGACAGCAGAGAAAACACAGACACGGAAAGATATCGGTAATGAGATGACTGAGAAGAAACATATAGCTACAGTGTAGATTTTGAAAAGTATCATCTGGTTCAGATGATTCCTTGAGAGAGATTACGGACAAGATGGTGACTATAGAATGGGATTGTAAATGACGTTATGAAAACAAAAAGATTGATAAAAAAGATAATGAACATAGATAGCGCAGATGAGCTGCTGAAAAGGAAAATAATCTAGGAGAAATATGATATTACACACACACATACATACATACATACACACACACGTACACACCCATATATATATATATATATATATATATATATATATATATATATACAATATTTATTATTTAATATACAATAGATATTTAAGTAACGTAGTAAAATGTGATTTCCTGTATGCAAAAATGGCTATAATTACCTTTCCAGATCAAAACAAACTACTAAATCAGAACTCATGTTAAAATGCAAAAGCCTAAACAATTTTTATTACGTAACTTAAAATTCGAAAACTGAAAAAAATAAATGTAAATAAATAAAATAGAAATAAATAAGCAAAAACAATTAAAATAAACTAATTAAAATATAACATAAAGTAAAATACGTAAATAATAAACAAATTAACAAGCCACTCCCGCCAAAATAACCGTTAGAATAGACTATGCAATAGCCTACCCACAATCACTGACACTTATATATAAAGAGTCGAGACAAACACAAAGCACGTGGCTTGATGACTGCGTTTAGCATGAAGTAGTATGTCGCTTGTGAGTGTTGACATAAATCTCCACTTGTATAGTTGCATTTTATCCCATAAATATAGTATACCTTATATATATATATATATATATATATATATATATATATATATATGAAGAAATATAGTTTTAAAGGTCTGCTATATTTATGGGGGTAAAGTGGTCAATATCAGAGATAGAGCGTATGTAAATTTAAATATAAAAGTAAACATTGAAGTTAACACTCAGAGGCGACAGGCTGTTTAATGCTAGACTTAATCGTCAGGCCGCATGTGACTTGATGATTGCGTCTATCATGAAACAGCTTGCGCCTCTGAGTGTTGACTTCAATGTTCACTATATATATATATATATATATATATATATATATATATGAAAACGCTTCTGACAAAATATACGTTCGAAGATGAGAAACTGACAAGTAAAAGAATGCCGTTGGGATATCGAAAAGAGAAACAGGTTTCAGAAGACATATTTGAAATAGGAAGACGCCGGTGACGCTATAGTGAAAAATGGGAAATGTTGGAAAATAAAACTGACCTAAGATAAGATATGGGAAGCAAACAGTCCACAGACGAGATTGCAAAATCATAAAAACTATGAAGACGAGTTGGGGGCGACTAAATCGATTACAGAGATGAGATTTTTGGAAAATACACGGAAATAACAGACAAGATATTGTAGATCGAAGAACGCTGCAGGTTATTTGCCTGAAACAGAAATAAAATAAAGACAAGACGGTGAGGTCATAAAGACGCTGCAGATGAGATAATAAAAAATAGCAGCCATTGTTGGAATGTTGAAACCAGAATGAGGCTGTATATATTAAGCTGAGATTAGATAGAGGCTGCAGAGGAGATATTAACCAGAGGACGACTTTGCACACTCTATATTGAAAAGTGAAATATTCTCCAAAACAACACTGAAATTGGTCGCAGACGAGATACTGAAATACGGATAGCGGTCACAGACCTTATGATGAAAGAAGAAGAAGAAGAAGAAGGGGGAGGAGGAGAAGGAAGAGAACTCTAGAGAAGACATATTGAATGAAACCTGAACAAACACACGTAAAATTCAAAAATACAGACATATAAAGAAAAATAACGAATAGTCTTACAGGTTAGGTGGTTTAAAACACCAAAGACACGCCACATGATGAGCATGAGAATGCTGAACAGGCCAGAACGTCGGCAACCCCAATGATAGCGATTGTAGTTTACAGGGAAGCAAGAAATCGGAAGGGACTTCTTCCACAAGAGAGAATTTCCAAAATGTTAGAATAGAAATGGCATTTTGTATTGAGTTAGTTCTGCAGTAAAACTGTGAGACGTAGTTGCCAGTATAGTAGCATGCTTAAATTCATATAGCCGAGGCAATAGGGAAAAGCCTAATCAGAACAGTTGCCATGAAAATTGTTGGAGAAAAGACAAAGGAAATCCACAGCACGCCGTTGAGAATGTGAATGAAGTCGAGATTTCTTGTTAGAATCTATTAAATTACAGACTCGTCTTGGAATTTCGTCAAGAATCTCAAGATAGACACCAGGAGCACCAGACCAGATATGGTAGGTGTATTCAATTCATTGACAAATAACAGATTTATAGATATGGTAAAAGGATTCTAATGCGAAAGGTTTTCTGGCAGCACTCAGCGAACCAACTTTGATTGCAGTAGACGTATCAACTTATTTGATCTACTTCATGTCAGTGGAAAAACTTGAACCAAAGAAAACGTAGACTGCAGCACACCTGGAGTTTAGCATCGGTCCATGCTGATGGCAGACAGAAATGGTTCTCAGTGGTGATTAAATTAAGGTAGTTTTATTTTATTTTACTTTTTAGGGCAGTTTTGTTTGTTTTAGTGAGCACAGAGGAGACTCTGGATAGAGATAGTATTTTTTTGATTTCTGGCACCCTGCAAATTCTGGTGGATGGGCATCACTGGTTTACAACTATCTCCTAAATCTTTCATGCCCCAGTAAACCATTTCAGCTGGCCGGCTAATCTCACGTGAGAGAATGAATTTAAGGAACCCTCGACTTAAATGACTGTGCAGAGCGAAAGGTTTCCTCAGAAAAACTACAATGGACACGTGTTCGCAATTAAGGTGAGCAACCTAGTTGGGGGACATCGGATGTGGTCTAACCTGAATATGTATGAGCTTCACCAGCTTAAAACCCCGAAGACACGCCACATGTTGAACACACTAAGAAACCAGTTGCCAAGAGCCAAATTCTGGCACACAACCGCGACAGCTGGAAGGGAATGGTGCATAGCTCAGCACGTCACAATAACCAACGACGCCTTCCGTGGTTAAGGGCGAAAGCAGAATATGTTTTGTTTTGTAGGCATTTCTTTGAATATTTCCATGTTTACGTTATAGATATAGCCATATATTTCAAATCAGGTCACTGTTTTATCTAAGAATAGATTGCCAAACATTCTCTGCCATATATCTGGTTAACAGTTCAACACTTTTCTTTTATAACTAACAAAGATTTCTGCTTTTTTATTCATAGTTTTTGAAGACATAATGCTCTATTGTGCATCATCTGTCAATTTAAATTTCTGCATTATTCTCACAAAATTCTTCAAAGTCTTATTGAGGTTAATAGTACGTCCTTTTTTCTTGAATTTAATCATATAAAAATTGTATCCTTTGTAGCTCTCAATATTTTTTTTGGATATCTAAACTAAACATTGTCCCGCCATTCATTTACTCAAGGACCCCAGGCAAGTATGTCTTGTTTGCACCCGTCCTTTTTCCTTTCAATCTGTCCTGTAAGTATTAAAATTACCAACCTCGTTTTCATCATTATGCGCCCAAATCTTCCAACTGTCTCTGCTTGATTTTAACTATGAGTGATTTTTTGTTTCTATTTTCTCTAAAACGTCGTCGTTGATCACGTGTTCGATTCATGATATTTTCAGCATCCTTCTGTAGAATCACTTTTTTTTCATGCAATCTTTTTCATTCTCCTGGCTTTATCGACTTGATTAGGGATTAAATTATTAATAAAAAAAAAACATGCTATCCCAATAACAACACACTTAACCTGTTCATATCTAAGTTTAACCTTTATCTCCCCTAAAATATTCCTATGAACTGTGCCTCTTATTCTGTAGAATTTTACCTTAAATGGCTCTTGTGAAAAATTGTCAAAAAAAAAAAAAAGAATATGCCGTATACATCATATATAACTTATCTTTGTACCAAGAAAGCCAAAATGGAGATTCGGCTTTAGTCGTACAGCTAATTTCATTCAGATAAGTATTTTACTTTCTATGATTTAATTGTTGTAGCAAGAATTGGTTTAATGCGCACTAATTTTAAAATAAGATCTTACCATCATTCCTTCTTGTCCATCTTATATTTTTACATGCTAACACTGAGAAGTAACACAGATTATAGGTGCATGTAGAATGACAGTATTGAAGAATTTTCATTATCACTACGGCTAATTTCACATCTTTCGTTTTTTCTTCTTTCTTTACACCAATTAAGATGTACACATGTAATACTCATAATTTGTCTACATTTCTAAAAGACGTAACGTATACAATGTTTCTATACGTAGATAATATATGTTCCAAAAGTTATCATAGCCGGGGTGATAGTGGGGACAACGTCCACACTCAGTAAAGTGTTTCCATTGCATGCGTTTCAAATAGGCTCTGACAAGTAAGTGCATATCTAATCCGGAGAATGGGCGAAAGCGGAAAACTGGCGCATCATAACCAGCTGCTTTGACAAGATGGAGCACGACAGCCCAGGAAGACAGTCAATCTACGGGAATGAAGACCCTGATTTTAAACCTCTATTTATTTTCGGCCACATGCGAACCATAGAAAAAATCCATAGAAGTAAATTCAGACAGAAAACCCGGATTGGCGACCAGAGGGCGTTTGGCTCTCAACACTGATAAGTTTCGAGCATCTTCTGCAGCCAACCCATCCACAAAAATATTATGCCCCGTATTACTTTGGATTTTTTCGGTATGAACGAAAGGGGTGGTGCTATAATCTGGGCAGGGCATGGCCTCCATATATCATCAGATTTATACGAAGGCTTAGAAAGAGCAATGCAAATGCAGAAGAACGCGTACCTGTGTTTTAAGACTACGCAAAGGCGTTCGACAAAGTACACCACAAAGATCTGTTAGAGCTACTCAGCAATCTTGACATAGATGATTTTGGAACAGACAAGGTTACGGAAATAATAAATGACATCTACAATAGTGGATATATACCGGAAGATCTAACTAGCACTGCCGTAAACACCATCGAGCAATGAGCAATATAACAAAACTCATTGTCTATATTTCAATGAATAGAGCGCGCAGCAGAATCAAGCCAGAGATAGGACAAGAACAGTACGGGTTCATTAAAGAACAATGCTCAGAATGTTATCAGAAAGAGCAATAAAAATGCAGAAGAACGTGCACCTATGTTTTATAGACTACGCAAAGGCGTTCGACAAAGTACACCACAAATATCTGTTCGAGCCGCTCAGAAAAACTGACATATTCCGGAAAGACATTAGAATAATCAAAAATCTCTACTGACAGAAAACGGCCTGCATAAAAATACAAAAATGAGTTCAGCAGATTTACAAAAATAGAAAGGGACGTAAGGCAAGGATGTGTCTTCTCACCGGACTTATTCAAACTATAAGCGAGGAAATTCTGAGAGAACTTGAAATCCTACCATGATTCGTCATTGCCGGCCACAATCGATACGCAGATAACACAATGCTAATAGCAGATACAGAAAGAAAACTACAAAACCTGCTACAGAGGGTAGCGAAGGAGAGCGAGAAGAAGGGACTAAGTGTAAAATACAAGAAGACAAAATATATGGTCATCAGCAAAAACATGAGCCCGAAATGCGATTTACAGGTCGGGGTCACTACAGTCAAGAAGGTGCGGAAATTTAAATATCTGAGAAGTGTTTTGACGGTAAGTGCGAGGCTGAGATTCGAAGACGTATTGGGATGGCCAAAGACGTATTTCAGAAGCTATTCTCTTACGAGACAGGATGGTTTCGTTGGTAACAAAGAAAAGAGTCCTGAACTGCTACGTGATATCTGTCCTCCTTTACAGCACCTAATGTCGGACGGTCTCCTTAAAGATGGAGATACACGAGGCACCAGAGGTGTGTTTCTACAGAAGTATTTAAGTATATTATGGATCAAATTTCTTAAATGCAGTGATATCAATTTTACTACATTTTTACACGAATTTTTAAATTTGATTTCTTCTTCTTATTTTTTTTACTCTGTTAAAATTAGACCTAGTAGTCTTGTAATGTTCGAATTTCAACGAGGAAGCGTTGTCATTGTTTTTAATATTTTTAATACGCAATTTCTCCCCCTTTTTTTATTTCTTTACACTACCGAGTAACATTAAGATGTCTTATGTATAATAGTCTTGAAGCGTCCACTTTCTCAAACATATGAGCAACGGCGTAGTTTTGGAGAGGATGGAAACAAAGCTGAAACTTATACTTAAAAACAGGAAGAGGGAGACACGTAATGAGAAAGGAGGGCTTGGAAAATCTAACTCTCACAGGGCGCATAGAGAAAAAGAGAGACAAGTGAAAGTAACACGTGACATACTTAAAAGGCTTAAATCAAGTTGATAACAGAACAGAGTCTGAGAGAAATAACAAAGAAAAAACTTATTGAGAGCGACAAGGGACAGATAAGAAATGGAAAGCCATGATCGCCTACGTCCTGAAAGGAAAAGACACATAAAAGAAGAAGAAGAATAGCCATAATTTGACCGAATATCTCAGATATAATTCTATTTTATTTCATGTTCCATTATCACTTTCTTGGTTGAATACAGAAAATAGTAATATACATAATAGTGTTCTGTCTTCTGAATTTCTTTAATAAATCTTCCTTATTGTTAATTTTTACTCGTTATTCGATTATTTATCTGTTTCGTAGGGACTATTCTTCTTCAGGTGTCGGAATTTCTTACATGCAGTGATATCAATTTTATTACATTTTTACACGAATTTTTAAATTTGATTTCT